CTAAGATTTCTAACACAACCTCTTCATGTGCAGAAGTTTTGCATGCGTTTGATTGGTCCATGGAAATTTATTTCTGACTTTCAAATTGTTACCTACTCGCTTTTCGGGGTACGAAATTTCGATGGCGCACCTGGAGAAGGCTTATGTTTAGCAAGATTGTGTTTAGTTATCTAACAATTCGAGAGGAAAGTTTTCCCTAGTATCCAATGATGTTGATTGTAGGCTTTACTATAGCAATTTTTCGCTTTTGTAGTTGAATAGATAAATGTGTAGCACTTTAAGCGGCAGCGTTGATAATTCGGAATCAATCAACTTTAGTCAAGTGTACTCTATGAGAACCTGAAAGCTGAGCAAAAGTGAGTTCTGAGTCGAATTTAGTTTGATAAAGATAGTGCCATAACATCATGTTTTATTGAGAATTTCATTTTATAGATTAAATCACAAAACTCTGATTACCAATGAATCTCTGAGGGCTCCGCGACAAATTCCTTGGTACTGTAATGTTGGAGAAAGAGAACACAGATTATCAGACGTTTTAGAATAAGAAAGAAAGGAATGCAAAAAAATACGTAGAGGCATAATCGAAGGTTAAATAAAAAAAAAGGGGGGAAACAGAGCAGAGGCTTCAAAGGCACAAGAAAGAAAGAAATACCGAATGAAAGAGGCTTGGAAACTTTAAGAGAGAAGCACCAGATAGAATGTAAAAGTGAAAAATATAAGGGAAGCAAGAGCAAATGGAGTAAAATTAAAATTGAAACTGTGCATAACCACTGATTACTACTACTATTAGAGATAACCGATTTTTACTGTTTTTGATCTCTTAATTTTTGTGGGAAAACGCTCCTGCAGAGATCCAAAGGTCATACTTAAAAATAAAAGCAGAATAGAAGATAAATAATGGCACTCACCAAGCAGAACAACCTGCTAGAAAGGCTACATATGGCATCCGCACTTTACACCCTAATTTTTTTTCTAATTTACTTCAGTCTTTCTTAAGATTATGACAGATGGAGCTAATCTGAAGTAATATTCAGGAGGCAAAAACAATCCGACAATCGACATTACTACATTAGAAAACCGCTTTTCATCGCTTTCTTTGCGTAAATTAAGTGATCTCGACCCTTGACCAAGAAGTTTTTTCGACAAGTAGTGATAGGCGACTTTACTTACTTCAGAACATATCTGACAACTGGAATTATCAGATGCAAATTTTCTTTATCGTCAAAAATCTAAAACACCGACAATACCGATCATCCGACATCATTGAGTAAAATGTACCTTTCTTTGACATCATTTTTGGCCTGATCTGGCCGAAAATTTCCTTCTCGAGTCGAGTCATTCGCGATGCGAGTGTAGTAAAATGCAATAGTGAGAAATTTCCATTGCTGCACTCGAATTTCCACAGTTTTATTGTGCAGTCGTTCCGATATTCTCTCAGCTAATTTTACAGTCGGATCAGTCCTGCTTTTGTAAGTATTAGGGTCAGGGCTCGGCACGAGGTGGCTTACAAGCAAGCTGGATATCGTTTTTGGGACGAAAAGCAAAGGGAGTTTCGTTTTTGTGACCGAAGAGACACGGAAAATTGGCGACGGCCACCTTTTTTTTTAGTCGACGTTTCGTTTTTTGGGGAATTTTGGGGAATTTTTCAGGTTTTCAGAGGAAATTTGGTTGAGGGTCAAAGGGGACTTCGTAAAAATTCCCAGAAGTCAAAGGGGACTTCGTTTTTTTCCATTTTCATCTAGCCACCTCGTGCCGAGCCCTGATTAGGGTTGACCAAGAACTAATTTCGGTCTTTTGACGGCCAAAGAAACCACACTCCAAAAAACCAAATTCGGTTGTAAAGTGTACATTTGGCTGCCAAACAACAAAATCTCGCTAAATAGCTGCTCATCGAATTGTTAGAGAGTTGATTTGCGTTTACGAAATTGTCCGTTAGCCAGCCTATTACTAAAATGAAAGTATAGCCAACTAAAGCAGAGTACAAGTTTCGGAGTATCCGCACCATTTTGATCAATGTTATACATGAGCATACGTAAAGTATCACTTCAAAGGCAATGTAATTGCAGAAAGGTTTTCTAAGGTTCATCGAATTCCTCGGAAAGGAAATCATCTTCCCAAATTATGCGTTTACTGGCTCAGGAAATAGTTTTGTTAACAGTAGAACGTGAAAGCGAGGTGGTCAACATATATGATTGCTTGTGCTACTTGCCGTTAGTGTTGTGTGGATCAAATCATCTCCGGAGGCTATACATACGCTAGGATATTGTATAAATTTTCAAGAGGCCTTATCTAAGTAGGCTCTAATTCTCAGGTGCCGATTTGCTCTGAACAAGCGAAGAGCTACTGCTCTAGAAAGAAAGGTGCGATTTATCAAAGAAAAATCTTGAAGAATGGCATCATTATTGGCATCCATCGTTCGTCTTGGCACTTCACCCATCCAAACGCCACTTTTTAAGCCTGTTCAAATGTAAAACATTTTTGCTTTTATGGATTCGAATTTGAATAAACAATATAAACAAATCGATTGTCATTTGCAACGCTTTTGCTAAACGATTCATCCACTGGAATTTTGTGACCGTAAAAATTTTACCTTTATCCCGCTCTGTAGAGGAAAAGTTAGCCGATAAAGAATGTTAACAGTACTTGGAGTACTTTACACTACGTTTATTGATATCAGAAGCCATAAATAAAGCAAAATAATAGTTGAGCAAGGATTGCATCAGTTGTATCCATAACAAGTAGACAAGCTGCTTGAAATAAAGATAAGTTTATCCTGGTTGTTTGTTCTTACAATTAGATACTAGCTTGATCTTATGCTCCCTATTTCTGCAGAATTCCTTTTCCGTCGGTCTAACGTTTTCAAAAGTGCACGGGAAAGCATGCAAACTACGTCAAACTATGTTCTGTCAGAAAAACTTAAATCCATCTCGAAGAAGAGCAGCGTTAGTAACTACTGCAGATTTTCGGATTACGGAATATGTGTTTTGCTTATTCGTGCTCAGGTTGGACGGTTGCCGGCTCGAAAATACTACACTGTGAGTGGCTTGAATGTGTTGATAAACAAATATGCACAGCTATTGTCCTAAAAAATCCCTTTGCTTTGAAAATAATTGATTGTCTCAAGAGCAAACCTTTTTTTACAAAATAAATCAAGCGTTTTTTTCTCTAGCAGACATAGGGTACCATTCGGTAAACGAAGCAAGGTCCAAAAAAACCACCAAAGATCCACTTAGGTCGTATTCCAAATAAAATTTGGAGTAAAAATCAAAGATGTCCTACTTCCCTAAAAATCATCTCCTTTCAGACCTACCTACCCCCAGCTCGGTCATCATACAGTAGACACATTGTAGTATTCAAAAGTACTGGATTAAACACTGAGATACTATAAGTACTATAAGTACTGGGTTTACTGGATTTGTACTGAGGCCCAAGACCAAGAATCAAAAATAGTCCGAAAATGCAAAAATGTCATTTTGCGCTTATTTTTGTTGAACTTGGTATCTTTCGATCACCAGGGCATATGCAGAGGTTTGAATTTAAGGTTATACTGTAATGCCTGCAGTAATCACATTTGTGGGCTATGGGCATTGTCTGCCATTTTCCAACCACTTTTTTTCTTATTTTTCATGCTCGGAAAAATGCAGCAAATGCCTTATTGAATACTATTATATGTCTACTGCATGATGACCAAAGTCAAAATCCGTAAGAAGTTTCTGGATGGAGATCGATTTTCAGAAAGTTGAAGAATCTCAATTTCTGGGTTTTATATGGATTACGATTCAAATGGAGTTTTGATGCTCACTTTGTAGTTTGCTTCACTTATCGAATGGTAAACCAACTGCTAGGATAACAAAACCAGCTTGATTTATTTAGAAGGTTTTCGCTAGGGTATAACACATATCTGTTAATTTTAGTGGGAGCTTTTCTTACCACTCTCCCCCCTCCCATCTCTTGGAAACCCTGCGCACAATGCTCCGCTTCCGTAGGGGGGCATAGTTAACAAATTTCTGTAACAATTATATCTTCAAATGGCTACAAGCCAGGGCTCGGCACGAGCTGGCACCAGAAAAATTTCAAAACGAAGTCCCGTTTGATTTTGAAAATTTTGTACGAAGTCTCCTTTGAGCTGTTTTGAAAACCCATTATTATTTTTAGAATATGTAAAAGTATGTAGTAGAGTTTTCATGAATGCTGATTTCATTGGAACAACTTTTCGCAGCTTTTTGAGCTTTTTAAGTGGTTGAATCACAACTTGAGAATCAGAAAAAGCTCATCTTCGACAGCGGAGCAAAAAGAGTAATTTTTGGATGGCTATAAAACGCTGAAAAGAAAACATTATGAAACTTCTCTGTATGCAAACTTCTGTAGATAAAGTGTAGATACACTTTATGTAAAAAAACTATGAAAACTTATGTGAGCGAAGTGTCGGTGCCAGCTCAGCTGGTACCCAGCTGGCATGGCACCAACTAATTCAGAAAAAAATTTGGCACAGCTTTCACTATCATGGTTTTCCTAAATTTTTGGGCCATAGTTCGGGTCCCCCAACGTGCATGCACACACCAAATTTGGTGTCATACTATTGCGTTCTGGCTGAAAACAACCCCTTTGTTTGTTCGATGGATACCATGTCGGTGGCATGCCGGCGGCATTCTTGTGGCTCTTCTCTGCCCCGAACCCCGGGAAAACGATATCTTCTTTGCTTTCCGCACCCAAAAACGATATCCAGCTTGACCCGATGCCAGCTGTGACGAGCCCTGCTACAAGCCAGGAGCAGACCGAGGGAGGGAGATTTGTTTTCACAACTGAATTATTTTTTTCTCGGAAGGGCCTCTTCAACAGCAAATTTTTTTGTCATTTCCCGCCTCCACCGAAAACCTCTCGAACCACCACTGTTAAAGGCATGCATCACTCTTCTTCGTGGGATCCTAAGCAGTATAAATAGCAATTTGAACAACCATTCAGCAAAGCGAACATACGAGTACATAGCTAATTGGAAACAAATGGCACAGTGGTTAACAGGAGCTGCTGCGATCAGTAACATCAAAGCTCAATTTCTTCCCCGGTCTGTTCGAGGCTTCTGACTTAGACAAACGGTAAATTTAATTACAACCTAGGATGGTGAAAAACTGTTTGATAAGGGTTTGGGTAATAGACACTATAAGGGGGGGGGGGTAGTTGGGGTGAGTACTCCACATCTGCTAGGGAAACAAAAATACACTAAGTGATGTACCGTTTGAACAAAAGTTTGAATTAAGTGGTAGTCAAACTGAGTGCCAAATGGCGGTCACAAAATTCAATGAGACGGTAGGATTTACAGAGATTGCTCCTAGTTGGATGTGACCATTAGCTAAGCTGCAGAGGAAGGTTTGTGAGGTTTTCGAATTCCCAGAAGTTCAAGTGCCGAATCACCTTCGTCGAGAAGAGCAATTTTTATACAAAGATAGTAATTGAAAAAAAAGTTACTTCAGATTGTTATCAGCAAAAACGGCTTACTTCATGGTTTTTCTCACGAGGAGAATTTTGAAGAACTTCTTCATTTATCCTCCCCCCCTCCTCTCCAACCTGCGTGAGCCACTGCTATCCAACCAATAACGCACTTTTGGGAAAAGATTACTTATTATCTCAAGCTTGTAAAATTCAAATTTGGAAAGTTAGGAGTGATCAAAACTTTCAGCTGAGTTGATCAAGCCCAACAGCTTTGAAACATCAACTTAGAAGTTGCAAGCAAAAATACAAAGCATTTCCGATCTGATTAAAACATTTTATTTTAGTTTTTCACACATGGAATTCATCACATTTGTTCTTATTCGGTCATTTTTTTCTTTGATCATAAGGTTTGAGAAAAGAGTTTTTGAACTACCCCGAAGTACGTAAATCAACGCATAATTTGATAGCCCATGTAATCTTCTAAGAGCCTCTCCCTCTTTGCCCAACCTTGTTTGCTATGCGACCAGCAGTAGAGTAGATGATCTTGTCCTTCCTAAATCCTCCGAACTTAAAAAATCCAAAAAGTCTGACGTGAAAATAGCGCGCATAAGATATTTTCAGAGGCTGGGGGGGGGGGAGGGGTAAGAGACGACAGATATTTTTCTAATATAAGTGAAGCGGCGTGGTGAACATTAAATTTTCCAAAAATTTTAAGCTTTCTCCATTTAGAAGTCTATAGCCTAAATTTCTTGTTGCTCTAATGAACACTACTTTCTTTTTGTGTTTTTTTTTATACTTGCAAGAACAAAATACTTGCATAATTTTTTGTGCAATTCCTGAGCTCTTTTTAATTTTCCGAGCTAGGTACTAGATCAGAACTGAAATTGATAGACTTCTAATTGTCTTTCATTTTCACTTGTTAAAAGATATCGTTCAGAATTTATGGGCGCTATTCCACATTAGTTAACCCAAAAATGAAAATCGCAGATTTGGCTAAAACTTCGTCTAGAGGGGTTATTTGGCATATTCAATTCTTACGGTAACGCAGTTTTCTCGGGTTAGGGTGGGCATGCGGTAGGTGGCTAAAATTCGAATTTGCTCAAAACTTCATATTCGCGTACCAAATAACCCCCTAGACAAAGTTTGGGAGAAACCCATGATTTCTACCCCGACCGTAATCCTACCGTAACTACCCCAGATGGCGCTATCGTGCAAAATAAATGCGATATTCGTAAGCAGCGTGCAGCATACCCTCCCCCCCCCCCACTAGACAGTACTAGCGAAATCCGCGAATTTCATTTTTGGGTCAACTAATTTCGTAGCACGCCTCAGACCGTGTCGAATACATAAATAAATAAATGAATAATTTGACGAGAAAGTGGTGGGGGGGGGGGGGTGTCAGCGGCATTGACATCTAGCTAAATCGTTTATTGTAATAGGATAGAATGTGTTGTGGAAGCATGTTCTTCCTAAATCTTGCAGAGACAGCAAAAACCCCGACGAGAGGAACCCTCGTCGATCTCCAGTCCACGGGGCTTCCGCTCCAGACCGGCGCGGCGGCCGATGTTCGCTCGGCGTGGACCGTGCGTGCCGTGTGTGTGCTGTCGGCGGAACGCTGCTGCAATGCTGCCGGCTGCTGACTGGCCGCTCGGTGAGTGTACTACAAGTGCAAATTTCGATCGGAGTGCGCCTCGGCCCCGTTGCACTACGCTCTCGATGGATCCCCGGCCACCTGCTATTGATCTACTCCCCTCGATCCCACCCATCATTCCCCGTACTCACTTGGAACACAGCGGGTTTTTCCTTTTTGGAGAGCTACGGCTCGGCTCTGGAGCTTGGCTCAGTCGCGGATGGCGCGTAGGTGTTTTTTGACGGGGTCGGATAAGTGTGGGAGGGTTCAGATTAACTGGGAGCAAACTTTTTGGGAGATCTTTCCCAAAAACCATATGGGGACGTATACCCTGAGCATTACCTACAAAACACGACAGTTCTATTCTTTCTTCCACACTTCCATCTCCATTCCATCCAGCATTTCTATTCTTGTTCCATTTTCTGCACTTTCTCTGCAACCACCCCACTTCCCCCCGCCGTCGCTTTTTGCTCCCCCGTGTGTGTCAGTCAGTAAATCGCGTATGTGCTCTGTTAGCAAAAGAAAGCGAATGGACTTTTCCACATCGTCGACTCTCGACATCTTTTCTAGGCGCGCGACCAAAACTAGCTCAACAATGCGCATTTCTTTACGTAGAAAACCTTTGTGTTTGATGGGTATTCTTTTGCGCAAAATATCTGGCCTTTGTAACAGCATTTTTTTTCTCAAAAAGGTTACCCTGCCGAGATTTAGCTATTTTTTGTCTCTTCTTGGATATCTTATCACATGCTATGTAATTTATGAAATGTCGAGGCATGCGAACCTCTTCCCGTCACTTCTTTTCCCGCCACATTTGTTTTGAAACGCAAAGCTGTAAATCCCAATAACAAGCTAAAGAAAACTGTTCATTAGAGAGGGATGAAACCAAGGGAATTTTTCTCACGACGAAGTTTTCCTCTCATAATTCTTTAAATGTCAAATTATGAGTTGGTTTTGCATTTTCAATCCAAAACTGACTGATGCCATAACTTAAATAATATCTTTTCAAAATGCTCACGTAGGTTAATCAAAGATTGAGAAAAAGCCCAAAAATTAGTACTCTAATAAAAAAATAATGAGTAGGCTAAAAAATAAGTTTTGGCATGCAAATCTTAAAAAATTTTCTTGTTATTTTCTACCCATGTTTTTTTTTGTGGAAGTAGCGCAAAGCATCCTTTACCACGCATCAAGTACTTAGGAATTTCTATCATCGGTAAGGACATTAATGCCTTAACATGGCAAAATTTCCTAAAGCTCAATTCTTGGACTTCCTAAGCCTCGTCTTCATGCTTCAGTGGATGTATGTAGAGAGCAGCAGTCGGTATTTGGATACTGAGGGTTTTTTCTATTCACTGAATTACAATGGAAACTATGATCTGCCAATTTGAAAATCCTTTATCAAAAAATAAACCAAATTTTCTCATATTTGCGCACGAGAAAATTGAGGTTCCTCACTTTTTCGCGATTTTTTCTTTGGAAGAGGATAAGTGCTACTCAAACAGAATTTATAATAATTCCCATTGAAGTGCTCTTTCCAGAGATAGCAAAGGGTGGTTAAAAATTTGTCTGCAGCATTTGTAAGAGCCGCAAAAGCAACCGAATTTATTCATTAGCCAATCAACCTAATACATCAAATCTGATTCGCGACTATTGCCATGAGCTTCGAAGAGTTTTTTTTGCAAATCGAGATTATCTATAATATTTTGTTAGCAGTTACGCTCAAAAAGTGAGGATAATTCAAACATAAAAATAGATCTCCACTGATTTTATGATGTATTTCAGGTATTTATACGCAAATGCAAGTCTATATTATTATATATTGTTAGATATCGTCAGAATGATTTCTTTGTGAAATCTTTAAGTTACTGACTTAAATCTATTTTTATCTATGAAGCTTCGGTAACCTTAGGTAAGGGTCCAAAGAATTTTTTCAGCTTGTCTTTTGTCTAGGATGGATGGAGTAATTGTTCAGTTTGGGAGGCAGATAAAAGTCTTGATTCTGATTTGAAAACATTCTGAGAAAGTTTTTCTCAGAATCTTTTTGCGGAATCCTTTATTCTTTACTGCATTGTGGAAACATAAAAATATAAACCACTGATTGGCAGAGTGTGAAATGCGCATATTTCTCTGAAACCGGTCTCACTTTTTTCCATCGAGTCCAACTAACCAGAGCGTTGAACCCTCACAAAAGCAGTGAAAATGTAATAGAACGATTTGATTGTTTGACTTTCATGCGCAATTTTTTGAAAATTTCGTACTTGAAACGGGAATTTGGTACGGAAAACGAGGTCCTTTATAATTTGATTGCTAGTTTTAGGGAGTTTCAAAACCTATTTCAAAAAAGCTAAAAGTAAAGAAAGACGTATTCTACGGATAGTTCTTATTAGAGGTAATACTAATAATTAATTGTAGTGGTAAAATAGTAATATTATTAATGTCAGTAGTAAAAATTAATGTCATTGAATAACAAAAATAATAATGATATTACTTTAAAAGAAGAAGAATAGACTAGATAAGTAAAGAAAAGACGACAACAATAATAACAAAAATATCAGTGAAATAATACCGATAATGCTGACGCCAATAACAATAGTAATAAAAGTGCATTAATAAAAAGACTATCAAAACAATCTTCACTCAAATCACGCAAAAAGACGACTTTTACGAATGTCAGGCTGAGGGGATGGCGGTGGTATGGAAAATGACAGTAGAAATAAGTTCTAGTTAGTTTAGTTGATCCTTAAAGGACATTTTTTTCACATACCCATCAAAGTTTGGAAGAATGAGGTGGTTTCCATTGGTATGAGTTGAAAAATGCGTTTCTTTGAACTTTCTTCAGAAATATAATAAATTTTAATAATTTAGTAAATTTTCGAGAAGAAGGCCAGAATAAACTAGACTAGAGAAACTAAAAATTGAAACCTTATGCAGTCCTTCGTCCTTTCTTTTTTCTACTGGTATTTTCCTTACCACCGATATTCCCTCACTCTTTTTGCAATTTTTTCTGCTAGGAATAAGAAAAATTTAGGAGTCTGTTGTTACTAAGAATTACAGGTTTACATGGAGCTGTTCAGCACCATTTAGTTCCATTCCAAAATTGTACCTACAGCATCGTTTTTTACAGTGTGTGTGGGCGGATCGTAAGCGGCGTCGATTGGCTCGTTTTTTTCGCGAAGATAACTGCCGACCAATCGGAGCGAAAGGGCGTTTTTGTAGGTGGCCGGGCCGGATGCGTGTCGCTGTGGCTTGCGTACATTCACTTTTCAATTACTCTTTGATATCGCTTTTTGTGGGCGAATTCGACAACAACAGCAGCTGTTTTCATTGAGCAGAGTTCGATCCGTGCCGTGTGTGCCCTACGCTCGTTATTGTCGTTTCGTGGCAATGCACGAATTTCTGTTCCCTGTTCGCAGTTTTACTACGATGGCTGTCCTTTACTCTGGTAGAATATATGATTTTGGCAGAGAAAACCTTCATTTCATTATGTTTTCTTTCATGGGTAAGACCCGGCAAGAAGGGTGGCAATTTGCGCACTGCAGTTTTTTACGTTTTCATTTCCATTCGCATCTTCGAGGACTTACAGTTAGGGCTAGGCACAGGTGGCTTACAAGCAAGCTGGATGTCGTTTTTGGGTTCAAAAAGTATAGGGGATTTTGTTTTTGCCGCCGAAAAGACACAAAATTTGTTTTTTTGTGCATATTTCGTTTTTTGGGGTTTTTTCAGAGATTTTGATCTAGGGTCAAAGGGGACTTCGTAAAAATTCGCAGAAGTCAAGGGGGACTTCGTTTTTTGCATTTTCATCTAGCCACCTCGTGCCGAGGCCTGCTTACAGTCATTCTATAAAACTATGATATCTTCGAAATTGAAACTGTGGAGAGCTATAATCGAGTTGTTAAATTGGTGGAGAAGGAGTGGGGGGGGGGGGGGCAACAAAATTGTTTGAATGCAAAAGAGTGGTCCTAGCAGCACGCCTTTCGGAAGAAATGTTTTTGTGTCTCCATCTTGAAATATGAAGGAAACAGAAATTTTTTTAAAATGATGAAAAATCAAAGAAAAATCAATCTCATCTTCTAGGCTTGCTAATGAGTAATTTCGTTTTGGCATGCAACTTCGAAGCTGAGTAAAAATTCGAACAACTGTTATTAGCTATACTTTTGGTGTGCGGGGAGCTTCAAGCCTCTACTATCGCATATTCATCATATAGAATTCTCAATCGTGATAAAAGACAGTCATTACCTTTTATGGCTAAGCTTCCAAAAAATCACTTTTTTACTATCCCATTTTGTACTCAGCTCAACCATACTCGGTAGTTACAACCAAATGTCGTTTTTTCCATTTGGGTACAACCTTCGGCTACATAACAACCCCGTTTCTGTAGCCAAATTATGAAAATTTCCAGGTATTTGCGCGTGAAAGTCAGTTTTGAGGCAGCTCAAATCGCTTGAATTTGACCATTTATGGCCATGCAAATGGCCGAATATATCGTAATCGTAATTATGCGTATCATTCGTGCACTTTAGACGCTCAATTTGTTTTTTGAGCATGATTTTTCAAATACTTGACGGAAAAGTCTGGCTTTTTTTTTGCTTTACTGCACATTTCGCCATCAAGAAATAGTTTTTGAGCAAACAAAGTTAACCATCCAACTTTTCTTGATCTACCTTTTCGAATGGTACCAAACTATACACGAATTTATCTGTGACATTTCTACAAACCGTTAAAAACGACCGAAATTATTTTTTAGCCAACCTAATAACTTAGAAATTGAAGTGATTCGATTTGGGATGCTTAGTGAAGTCACAGAGCTCTATTTCAGTCGATATTGTTATGTTTGATTGGTGCATCTTTTCTTTTGAAAAAGTTTTTTGCCCAGATTTTTGTTGCTATAACACAAATCTCATATATCCTTGGCCTTTTCTTCAAAAATCTATTTCCAGTTTAACATTTGCCACTTTCGCTCCGAGGCTCGATTATAGCCTCAATTATTCTCGGAGGGACTTTTTTTCTAAAAATTTTGTTTTTGA